ACAGCCAAAGAACTGTCATTCACATTTATAATAAACTCCGCCCACAGCCAAAGAACTGTCAATCACATTTATGACAAACTCCGCCCACAGCCAAAGAACTGTCATTCACATTTATAACAAACTCCGCCCACACACAGCGAACGAACATCCCCTATGTACTTCAGACATCCTTATTTGCTAAAATGACCCTTGGAGTGTTTCCATGTATTGTGTGTGTAATTGTTGCTGCAATAGGCTAATCGCCTGTCCATGGTGTACTTCGCTGCTGCCTTTTGCCAAATAACCTTAGAGATGGTTACCAGCTCCACAGGGCCCTGCACAGGRTCAAGTGGCTAGCAAAAAAATGACTGAATGGATATAAATACACGTGCAAGTTCAGCAAACTCTGCTAAAGGAGGGCTATTATTATTTTCCAGGCACATGGGGGATTCTTTACAAGTATCACTCGCTGTGTTTCCATTGACCATGAAAATGTGCAAATTAGAATTTCGAAAATAAATCTGATCAATGGAAACACGTCAATTTCGGGAAAAAAATTATGTTTTTCGACAAAATGTTTTTGCGCTAGGATGAGGTGGTTTTGCGGTCTAATCTAAATTGGTGTTTTTCGCAAAACTGTGATGGAAACAGTTTTTTCACATCACAGGAGTCACGTGATCAACAACCGGCTGTTTCTACTGGTGAAAAAGACGATGATGAAGAAGATAACAGGAAGTAGAAGTAGTAGTAATATCACAGAAGTAGTATAAAATAGTAAACNCATATATACAGTATGTGTGTATATTTATACGTTGCTAAGAAACATGTAATGTTTATACATAGCAAATGCTATTACACCATACACATATGTTTTTGTATTAGCTCTGGAGCTAACACTACTGTATATCACCATWAATATGCATTAGCTTGGTGCTGGTATCAGGACACTTACCAGTTCTGTCAACCAAAAGTTTCAGCCCTGATATTAGGGGGCGAAATGATCCTTTAAATATAAGACAGTCCTGTACGCATTAATTCTATTACAACCTAAATTGTGTTATGTTCTGATTTGAAGGCCAGTAAAATTATTATTATTATTATTATTATTAATTATTTTAAATAAATGTTTATCAAACAATGTCTAATGTTACAAGTAATTATGGATCCTTTTAAGTGCCTGATCCCACTTCCTGCTTTGTTTTTAGGTACAAACTGGCATTCTCTGAGAGTCGCATTGCCAGCTACTTGTTTGATGGAAAGGGTTATGCGCTCATCAGTAACATGGAGAGGAGATCAAAGTTTGGTGTTGTCACAAGATTTGATATTGCCGTGCGAACTGTCGTGAAGGATGGTGTCATTTTCCTCATGGTGAAGGGGGTACGTCTAATACTAATACTGATGCTGACATGATGAAATGTTTGTTCTTCCTCCATCAAACCAGTAATGTTGTAAAAAATCCTTTWAAAAATAGCAATAAACTAATTTGTAGATATTTTTTATTATATTTAAGCACCTAAGTGAAACACGGCAGTGTCATTTATAACTTGTAAAGATTAGAGCTGTAATGTGTTTTTGAAGCCAGAACATGCACATTGAGGTAATAAATGTGTTTTTTTTTTTCAGGATCAATTCTTCCTCTTAGAAATAAAGAATGGTTTCTTGAACTTGATATATGACTTTGGCTTCAGCAATGGGCCAAAACATTTTGAAGACGATGCACCAAAGCGCCGATTAAATGATGCAAGATACCATGAGGTAGATGGTCTTCTACATGTGTAGTTGTCTGAATGATCCAGATGAGTGGTCTTCACTTGTGCTGTTCTGAACCCTGACAGGTGTCAGTGATCTACCATCAGTCTAAGAAGGTTATTCTGCTGGTGGACAGGAGCCATGTTAAAACAGTTGATAACCCTAAAACCACACTGCCCTTCTCAGACATCTACATAGGCGGGGCTCCCTCTAGTGTCCGCAAAGTCAGGTGAGTTAAAAACACCTACGACAGGAGAAGAAAATAACCAAACTGAAACTGAAGTGATTGGTTGGACTGAAAATTTTGGGTGGGGTTTGAAAAAGCCATCTGGGGGAATGTGTAGCACAGTCAAAACAACCAAGGATCACATATTTTTAAATATAAAAAATAATTTTAGTCACAAATCCGACATGAAGGTGTTAATTGTACCAAATTTGAAGACAAAATTTTTTTTGCATGTTCACAATTATTTTACTAATACTATTACTTCATCTTTTACCTTCCTCTTTGAGACAAGTCTTTACTACCACTCGCAGATTTACCAAACTCCGCCCACAGCCAAAGAACTGTCATTCACATTTATAATAAACTCCGCCCACAGCCAAAGAACTGTCAATCACATTTATGACAAAC